CCGCGGGCGCGCGAGGGGCTGGGTCCCACTCCAGGCCACCCAACAGTGCCACCAGGGACCGGGATCCTAAATGCCATAGTTCGGGGGCACCGGGGGTGAACCTTCTTCTTTACCCCTTCTCTTAAGGAAAATGGGAACCCCAGCGCCCAGACCAGACCTGGGGCTGGCTTTTGGCGTCCCTGCAACCCTCTTCCTAGGAGCCCCAGCTTAGTCCAGGGCAGCCACCAGGTGGTCCCCGCAACTCCAGGAACAGAAAGGTCTTGCTTTTGTTTCTTAGAAACCGGTGACCAAGGTGTCTGGGGGAGACAAAGCCCCAGCCAAGCCATTTCTTGGTAATTTTGTGCCCATGCTCTATAGACAGCCCACCTGGGACCACACACCCTTCTCCAGGTGGGAGAATCTGGCCCCAAGTCCCCAACATCAGCAAACAGTTGAGTCCAGTCACAGGGGCAGGGTGGGAGGGGCAGGCCTCCCTGCCTAGGATGCATCTGGGTCTTTGAAGGAAGCCTGGTGGTGGACATGCTTATGTTGTCTTTTTGTTTTGAAGTTGACCGGACTGGGTCGGATTGAGAGAGGCCAGCCATGTAACGCCTGTGGTGACCAGTGCCCTGGGTTTGCCTTGCATAAATGGAGGTAGGACGGTCTTGAATGCACAATACTGTAGGGAGGGAAATAAATACACTTTCTCCCTTTTAAGTCTATCCTGTAAGTCACATGGAAAGAATGCAAACACTGTTCCTTTAAGAGCCCAGCTACATCTGCTACAAATATTGAAGGTGGAAGTGGTGGCCAGACACCGGAGGATGCAGGAGATGCATTTTCCTGATGCCAGAGCTTTAAGTGGGAAGTGTCTAGGTAACTCAGCCCCAAACAATTCAAACCTGGAGCATGCCGGTGTTGCCAGGCACCATGGTACAGCGGGTGGAGGATTGCCTAGACTAACTGGTGTTTTCCAATTGTGCTTTCAGTTCAACCCTTGTAACTCTGGGTCCCAACCACAAATCCACCACTGCCTGCCTGTGCTGTGTCAACCCTCTTCCCGTGGCCAGATGTTTCTTATTAATGTGCCTTGAATGTTGATTTTCAGGCAGCCTCAGCTGGCTCGCAGTGATTTTGTTTGGGAGTGGAGGGATCTGGGTACCCTCCCACTGTATGTGATGGGTAGGGCCCTGGTTGGGAGAAGTTGGGGTGTGGATTTACAGACTCCTCTTGGCGATGGAAAGGTGAGTCGTCTTCCCTGGCATCTTCATGAAAGGGAAAAATTGGGGACACAGTTGACCAGTGTCATTCTTGGATTAGGGCATCCTCCCCACCACTCACAGGCTCCTTTGAAGAAGACTGTTTTGGATACAAAGGAGGAAAGTTGTCTGTGACCTCTGACCCCTGCTGTCTTTGCACATCTCAGCTTTAAGACAACTGCGGCACATGCTGGGCACCCCATGTTAAGGAAACTCCCAGCTGGTTTCTTCAGAGATGAAGTGCTTTTGTTCCCACCTCAGATGAGTCTGGCAAGCTCTCTGCCTTTGTTTCAGGGGCTTTCAAGCATTTAATGACTAGTGTGGCAGAGTCAGGCAGGCGACCTTATAAATAATGTGATTGGAGACATAGGCATTTGTCAATAGTGCCAATGCTGTCCTCAAGTAGGTGTGGCCTATGGACAGACCCTGTGGACAGGCCCTGGGGTGTCTCAGGTATGAAAGTGAGCAGGGTAGTGAAACCTCATTTTGTACAATTCAATATGAGAGACTAGCTCATGGCTTCTGTCGATCCCTTGGCAATGGAATGGAGATGATGGGCAGAGCCAGTTGGCAAAAGGCTCTGTGAGGGCGTACAGCTCAAACCTTGTTCTTCTCAGCCATGTGACCTCTGAATGTTCAGTCCCTAAGTGTCCATAGTTCTCCATTTCTCTACCTGTTAAGATGGAAGTGGCAAGGATGCTTATCCAGGGATTACATGAGATTTTGAAAATGTTGTTTGTTTATTCCAGGCCCAGAGTAAATGTGCACTAATTTCGTTGTTTCCAGCTTCCTGCTGAGGGCTGCTCAAGGGGAGATGTAACTCAATTTATTTGAGGATGCTGGATGACCAGGGTCACTATGACCTTCATGATCATAGCTTCTTAGAACTTGACATCATCTTAACCCAGCTGATTTTGTGATGGGAAAACAAGGGTTTTATTTTCAGCCCATGAAGGAAAAGAGACCTTTTCATCAAACTGAGGAGTTTTCACATGGAAGCAATTTCTCCCTAGTGCCCGCAAAAAGGCGTCCCTTTGTGCCATGAATAGGGTTTTTATGGTGTTTCCTTCTGTCCTAGACAGGAAGCTGCTTGGCTGACCTTCTTTATGCCTGATAATTTTGGGTTTTAGTAATCTTTGTAGTCTTCCCTTAAATGGCCTTGTAACCTTCTTTTACTGGGGAGCCCTAGACCGACGGTGGACATTGATGCCTGTGTAGGAAGAAGGGCTGGGGTGTCAGACACTGGGAGCTTAGAATTTGCTCTGACACGAGGAGAACACATGTTTCCTTTATCCAGGTTCCAAGTCTTAATTGTTGTGACAAACTGTATGACAGAAGTAACTTAAGGAAGGAGACGGTTTTGGAGGGGTCTTTTGGGGGAGGCTGTAGTCTGAGCGTATTCTAGCATGATGGAAAGGACATGAGCCACTCACATTGTATCCACAACCAGGAAATACAGAAAGATGAATGTTGGCATGGTGGTCCATGGGATGGTGTCTCTCATATTCAGCATGGATCTTTCCTCCTCAGTTATATTTCTCTGCAAAGAGTTGCGTAGACATACTTCGAGATACATTTCCTAGGTGACTCTAAGTCCAGTTAACTTGAAGATTAGCCATTACAAAAAACAAAAACAAAAACAAACCCTAAGACCTTCCCTTGTGAACTCAACCACTTTACTGGTCTGTGTGCATCCAGCTTGATCCCCCTCCATCCCACTGCCCACCGAGGCATCTCTTCAGAATAAGAAAGAATTAAGGTATTGCCTCCCAGCCCAAAGAGCCATGAGCTCTAGGAAGGAAGCACAAGGAAAACAAACTGCTTTCTTCTGGCATTGTACTCAGACCTGGGACTTTGAAGTTCACCCAAAATTTAGCTGGCATTTGTTCTGCGACTAGCTCTGTGTCCTTGGACGAAAGACTTGGACTCCCTTTCCGGTCCGGCTGGAAGACTCTGTCCCGCTGGAAGAACAAATATTTGAATGGCTGTCATATGCCAGGTGCTCTGGTGGTGGTGACCACTCAGCAAGAGGCAGACAATTAGGATTCTGGCCCCAATCCACAAAGAATTAAATCCTAGATAGGGCGGTTCATGCAAAGACTCTGAGGAGATGACATTTGGGTGGAGATCTAAGTGAGGAAAGGGAGGAGAATCTTGCTGATTGGGGCTGGTAAGGAAACCAACATTCCAGCTCCTAGAAACTTGTTAGGAATGTACAGTCTGAATCCTATCCACGGAGTCTGTGTTGAATGGGAGGAGCAAGGTACCTGGCTGACTTGCATGTACATAACATCAAGAGGCACTGAGTGGATGTACCTATCAGAGTGAATGGCAAAATTGTTCTTCTTACTTTGGGTCTTGCCATGAAGGGGGGAAAGATGTTTGTAAAAGGCTGTGGATCTTGTCAAAACTATTGTATTTATTACAAGGACTTTGCTGAGCGATGGTACACTTTTGTTTTTAATTATTCCCTTTTCCTTTAGGCAGCCAATGTGGATTTTTTTTTAATTTCTAATAAAAATAGGGTTCGTGTGGGTCATTGGGAAATAGGACCCACAATTCTTGTACTTTATGTGGAGCAACTGGAAGCCTAGGTGGCCGTTCCCTGCAGGTGACCTAGTGAGGAGAAAGGATCCTCTCATTGAAAGCCCCACAGTTTTCAGGCTGCAGAAAGAATGGTGCTCAGGAGGAGGAAAGAAGGCAGCTTCATGGACTATGGCTGGGTACTTAGTGCATCCACTGTAAGAGAGCTACTGGGAGCCAGTTATACTTGTATCTAGTCTTGGGGTGGGGCATGAGGATTTGCATGTAAAAGTTTGATCTCTGAATGTCTGGATAATAATGGATACCAGTAACAACAGAGCCAGATCTCCATCGTGGAACACCTGCAATAACAGGACAGACTGGTGGGTGTCAGGCTCCCATGTATAACACATCTTTTTTTACAAACTTATCAATCCTTGTGAGGCAGGTATTACTGTTTTATTGGTAAGAACAATCAAAGCTCCCAGCTGTTACAGTGGCTTAGCTATGGCCACTGGACCACCAAGAATCATGCTCATCCCCTGTGACTCACTTGCCTCTTGTGACTTAGTCTAAAGCAGTGTTCACAACCCAAAGGCTCAAGTCATCCAGCAGTTACTGGGTTCTGTTTGCTGGGCTTGGTATATTTAGCAAGTAACACACCTCCCAAATATTAAATTCAGCTTTCTGGCTTTTCTAGAAAAGAAAAAATCTAACTAATTGATAGTGTCATGTGAACCTCCCTACTTGATACTAACTGGTGGCTCTTGGGAGGTTTCCTTTAGATGCTACTGACTCTGGCTTACCATAGTCCCCAACATTCCAATTAGTTCTAGGACCTCTTTGAAAATCCAGGTTACCTGTCCAGTACTGGAAATCCCAAGTGACTACTCTCATCTTTGCAAATAAGGTTTGGAAAAAAGCAGTCTTCTCTAATACTAGCCATCCTGTGAAAATAGTGACACAACCAAACAAGTGCTTTTTGTCCTTTCTCTCCTGCTTGGCAACACTTGAATGTGGGTGTGACTATCCACTTCTTTTAGTGGGAAGGAAACTGAGTCTCAGAGACATTTAGCAGATGATGCTCCAAGTCTGCTTATAAATGTCTTTCTTCTGGAGCAAGGCAGCTCAGATTTGATCTTCATATAAACTGTTGGGGGATTTTTGTTCAAACTCAGGTTCTGGTTCTCTTGGTTTAAGGTAGGACTCAAGAGTCTGCACCCATGAAAATTTCCAAAATGCTATTGGTCTGCTCCAGGGTCTATACTGTGAACTGCCAATATCTAGTCCATGGCCTGCAAACACTGACCCCTTGGCCAAATCTAAGCCTTGGGTCTTTTGTATGGCCATGAATCAAAACTGGATTTTACAATTTTAAAATTGCAGGGGGTAGGAATTAAGAGGATAATAATCAACACTTTAGGGAAATAATCTGAAATTCAAATTTCCATCCGTTTATGTATGAAATTACTAAATAAAGCTTAGCTCATCAGTTGACATTTCATATTTTTCATTGTTTTGTGACAGCAGTGGGTTGAGTCTTTGAGGATGAGACCATAGCCTACATAGCCCTAACTATTTAGTATCTGACACCTTACAGAAAATGGGGGCTGGCCTCTAGTCTGGATTACTGTTTAGAGTGCATGAATGCTTAGTTTGAAAGAAACAGTCTGAGACTCTTTGGAGTCGTGGCCATAAAGAAGCCTTTCCCTTCGAGCTAGATATGAAGAGAGGTAAAATAAAAACAGCCAGAGAAGCAGGGCATAGACCACAGCCCTTTCTAAAGGGCTGTGGACAGGGTTTGCAAGGCCAGATCAATGACCCTCCAGGGGCTTCTAAGCCCCTTGTAATCTCTTTAACATTGCAACTTTA